AAGCCTGGAAGTGAGTGCGCGAGGTGGTTATAAAAGGCTCCCTACCCCCAAGAACGAGGTATGCTAACTTTGCGCTATCTGGCTTATCTTGCCTTTGGAAGATTCTAACTTGAGCTTCGGAGCCCTTACGCCGGGTTCTCCCCGGAGCTTCTTCACCCTCTCCGTTTCAGGTCCCCTGCCACTCAGTTCAGAGGCAAGATCGTTGACTGCTAAGATCGGCCGGATTGTGCATCATCAATAGTGAATTTGCTTACTACGGTTGAGACAGAAAGGGCGATAGGTTAGGAAAACGAAGCATTCGACATGATAGAATGATCGAGTTAGTTCTTGATGGGCCAATACCATTTACCAGCAGAAAAAAAAGATCTTAAATTGACATGAGTTTGCTAGTTGAGTTGCCTAGAGACGAAGATGATTCTGTGAACCGTTTAATGACCAAGAATCAATACGTCGCAAAGTTGGATGCTTGGATTGCGTCTCAATTGTCCCACATTTTTCACCTCTTCATCTTTTAATTATGGGATCCGAACAAGCTCATTCATATGGTTATCTTCCTTTGGCTGGTTGTAACTAGATAAAACTTGGAATCACATCCCACTGTCAATAGGGTTAGGGAAACTGGCTATCCCCCTGTTAGTCCCATCCCATAAAACACACACACACACATCTGATCATTTAAGGGCCTGTTTGATTTGTAGAAATAGGGGTTTGGAATTAGAAAAATTTGAATTAGAATGACCCATTCTGATTCCAACTGCTTGATTGGACAGAATTGAAATCTCATTCTCATTCCTGGTGGAATGACATTTTTCCATTTGAGGGAATGATCATTCCCTCTCCCTCTCTTGGGAATGAAATCTCAATCCAACTGATTCTAATTCCTATTTTGATTATTGTTTGAATCAAACAGACAATGGGAATAGACCATTCTGATTCTGAATATAAAGCGTGGACCCTAAGATGTATAATGTATTTCTTCTTCTTTTTATTCACTCTATAAAACTAGACAATAGGATAGCTCATCTGCCAAACCCATGCCCCTTAACCCTGGTGAAGGCAGGATTTAATCCTAAATCTCGGCTACAATAACCAGCCAATCAAATCAATTGACACCTTCATGCCTTGGATTGGTTGTCTTCATTTCTTTAATCCACATTATTTGCTCTATACCCCACCATGTTTGAGAGGTTTTTTCTTTTTCTTCCACTTTTTGGCATTAAACCATGGTTGAGATCTTTCCTCAAATAATTTTAGCCATCCACATCTGTAATTGTCAATAGAAAACATGTCCATGGAAAGTGTTTGGTTAAGCCACATGACAAGGTCTCCGGGTGTTGAGAATTTGCCTCGTGCATAGAGGGAACATGTGGGAACTCATTTAGATGACTTGTGCCCATATTTCATGCATAAATAAAACACTTTCAAATGTATGTAGTTAGAAAAGAGGTGATAGATAAGGTTGAATCAACCAAACTTTATGGGGTGTTTTGATTGGTCAAAGTTTTTCTAGTATTATAGATTTTCCCTAATAAAAATAATACATTTTTGCTGAGGTGGCAGTTGTTTTTGTTTTCAAAAACAAAACCCATTTATATTATTAGAAAATGCCCCGGCTTATATGATGGCTTCTTGATTCTTGAAAACATTGTCAATGACATTGTTTCATATTCACATTAGCAAACAAGTGGAGCCCAAACTTTGCTCGATGAGGTATCAATGGAGGAAGAAAAAAATAACTCTGGGAGAGGGAGAGGAGGTAGCCCGCTTTACTCCTAACCCAAAAATAACTCTTGAATTTCACTTTAAAAAATTCAAGGTTGCATTCCACTCCACTCATACACATTCGTATTCATATGCTTTGCTTGCTTAAACAAGAGTTGCAGTGTTGCATATTCCATTCATACATTCATGCTTTGCTTACTTAAACAAGAGTTGCAGTGTTGCACAACCCTCATTGCCGCAGCATAACCCATCTTCTGAGAGTTGCAATCTATCAACCCCATATTGCTACTAAGTGCTAGCTTAGCTAACACGTTAAATTCAAACATGACAAAACCTATAACCTTGCAAATTTGCAGACCTACTCAAATATTTTGCCTGGTAAAGTGCCAACATCCCGCAAAAGTACCACCATCCACTCATTCCCCTCTACAACCCCATAACCAAATGATCATCCCCTCCACAAATCCAACGGCCTCAAAGGGTGCCACGTGTGCATGCAACCAATCTTCTCAATCACCATCCATTAACCTCAATTAGATGAGTTTGACCAAGTAAATCAGAAATTTGACTTTCCAAATCAAGCAAGGAACCTGACGGATGACCTAATCTGAACTCTGAACTGTGAAGGCATCGTGCTGTTGGTTCAGTGGCCTCTATTCTACTCTGCCTTTTTTGGTCTTTTCATCTTTCCTTGCTCAACAGAAATAATTAGGTTTAAAAGATTAGAATAGAAAGGGAAAGGCGCAAGGGCTCACGCGCGGAAGAAAATTGTGGAAGCTGCTTTGCCACCTACTTGACAGCTGGCTGTCAGACATTGGGTGAAGCCCTCACCGTCCGATCGTCCACACGGAGCACGTGATATTGCTGAGTCATCAATTCCAACTCCCGTCGCTTTCGATCTCTAGCTCCCTCCATCTACAGCACACCAACAGAAACCATTCTCCATGGTGAAAAAGAAAAGCCCTCCCAATTGAAAAATAATAGGTTTTCTGGACGGTCGTTTAGAGTTCTTCACTAGACGTTGACTGTTTGACTGTTGGTCCATTAGTGACCGCTGGATTGATCATTGCCTAATTGGTTGGAAATTTTGTGACGTGGGCAAGAAGTGAGACACGAGGAGTTTTCTCCTACCGACAACGACTGGAATTGGATTTGCTGCTCGGCCCGTTTAGGAAATACATCGAATATGGATCGATGAAAGAACCAGTCTCCTATAAATACCCGCCCTTTCCTCTCTTTTCATCTCGTTGGTTTCCATTTTTATTTTTCCACTTTTGTTCGGACGCTCTCTTTTTCTTTTCTTTTTAATTTTTTTTTCTGGAAATATTATTTGCATGTAATGGCTTCTAAGGCTGAGCTTGGATTCAGTCGGGGAACCGGGTTTATGAAAAACTAATGAGATTGAGATGTCGTGATTTGGAGAAGGCGAAGACCGGAATGCTCGGATCTGCTGGTGAGTTTTCTCTATTTCGTTCATTTGTTTTTTGTTTTCGTTTTTGCTACTTCTCTGGTCGATTTTCTGTTCTTTATGGTTTGTGCCTTTGTGGTTTCTGGGCAAATTCGGCTGTGGAGTGTAATGATTTAGATTGTTTGGTATGTGGTTGGGAATTTGGCATTAAGGAGAGTTGTGTTCCGATGTTTCGTGATATTTATGGTTAGCTCGGGGGTGGTTGTTATTTGGAAACTGAGGTTGGAGCTCTGCGGAGTTTCTAACATATGGAGGAAATGTGGAGGTGGAATTTTCTTGGAAGGCTAGTGGTTCATTGAAGTGGACTGTGAAGAGTGTGGAGGATAGTAAAGAATTTTGTAGCTGTGTAGAAATTTTGCAAATTGATCTGAGTACATTTATTTGGATTATTTTTGTGTCTATTTTTTTTTAATTTTTTTTATTTTGAGATTTTGGAGAACTGAAAGATTGGAAGCTACCGAATATGACAGTTGCTGAGATGATGCAATACAGAAGAAAAGGGAAACTGGAATTCTATCAGTATACTGAAAATGTAGGTGCTAGAGAAGTTGTTCGACTGTTATAGGTGGATGCAGCAATTCTTGTTTCTATGATCTTTTCCAAGGTCGCTTTTGCCCAGCTTCTGTTTGGGAACAAAATGCTGTTTGAGTAGCCATTTTAAAGTCTTTAGGTGCTTGCTTGATGCCAGACCATTCTAAAAGGGTTTAAGACACCAAATTTTAGATAAAAGCAAGCAAGGTTGTCTCACACACAGAACAAAAAGAAAAAGGAAAAAAAATAGGGAATACTTGAAAAATGGTATATTTCTCTTTCACTGTTTGAGGGAGATTGTTTTAGACACTGAAGAGGATTGTTTTCGAAAATTAATTGCCCTTTAATACAGAAAAATGGGCCATTTTGGAAAAGGTAGTTGCTTTTGGATGAGATGTTATTCCTTCTTGGTGCTTCAGTGTCTCCATTTCTCATGGCTAGTTTCATTTGAAGAGATTTGGTGTCATCCGAAGTGGTATTTTTGCTGTAGAAAGATGAATTTAGGATGCTTATAAGGATTTTTTATTTTATTTTATTTAATCTTATGCAGAGAAGATTGTGAGAATACCAATCACCTTCATCTTCACCGTAAGGACCTCCAGGTTGATCTAGTATCCCTTTTGTACATAGGATTTGTTTGGTCAGGAGGCTTGGACACTTTAGCTGGCATTTGGCGTATTGGACCCTTGAGGTCACATTGTTTGGACATGATTATTGGAGCGTTTAAGGAGATAAACATCCATATTTTTAGGGGAACTTTGGCACCACTGCTTGGTTGAATGCAAGATTGAAGTTCCACTTTTCTGTTTGGTCCCGATATAAGACCCAAAAGTTTACAGTTTGCCAGTTTTTTATGTTATCATTCTTTTTCTTCTTCTTGTTGGGAATTTGAAATTCCATATTTGATGAAATGTTTTTTTTTTTTTTTTTCTTTTTGTTACGATGTTTGAGATTCATTGGAGTTTTTCTTTTGTTTCCTTTCATATCTGGATGTTTGGTTTAGTTGCTTTCCTGGTACTCCTTCCCCTTTCTTTTGTTTAATAAAAAACTCTATTTACATTTAAAAAAGATAAAGGGAAAAAACACTTAATTTGTGAACGGCCTTCTGCTATCTTCTCAAGGAAAGTGATCAAATTCAAATATAATTTTTTTATACATTAGTTTTAATTATAGTATGGGACTTAATCTCACTTTGTAAGTGGTTAAGGAGTTTGAATTGAGAAATGAATAGTTGTGAACAATCTTACAGTTTATGACACAATTAACAATTCAGATCACAAACTCCAAGTGTTTCAATTTGGATCTTATAATGGATCCTTTCTTTGAATTTTACATGGGTCAGTGTTGGGTCAGTTTGGTTTCACCTATTTTTGTCAACCGAACGGACTGTATCGGGTTGACTTGTATGCCAACCGAAACCGGAACGAAATTAATCAAACCGAACAACATTTGGATGTCATTGAAGGTCGGTTTAATTGGTTTGAATTAAACCAAACCAACATTGTCTGGCTCTGGCCCTGATTCCATGAGGCAATGTCAAGTTCTAAACTATACTATAATTTGTTTCTCTTCTCTTGCACAGTTGCACAATGTATGTGTCATAGGTCAGATAACATGTCAGCATAAGCAAGTTATCAAAAGATGGTAAATGTCAATGTGTTATAATATTGTTAATGTACAATGGTTTAGTCTTTTTTACATTTTGAAGGTTTTATGATTTTACTTCTTATTGGCTTTTTGTGGGAGACGTCAGAGAACTGACAGTGGGCAAGCGGCTGACACAAGGCATCATTCATGTAACAAAAAGTAAAAAAGCATAAAGATAATCTAGGGACCCAAGGTTTTATGGGATATGTAGCAGCACCATAAGCTGCCATTATCCCAAATCCTTCACTAATTTATGTCATAGGTCGGGTCGGTTTTAGCTCGGGTTACAAAGACATAACCGACAGCTGAACCGAGTTAATGGTTTCTACTCTTATTTAAACCGAAACTGACCAAAAATTTTATAAAACTGACCATTTCGGGTTGAGTTGGACCAATTTGGTTGGTTTACATTATTTTGTGAACAGCCCTAGAAGAGGGTAAGGTAATATTTTACTAATTCTGAGAGGAGAATATATTGGGAAAATTTACTTATCTACTATAAACCCCTGTAGAGTAACCCCCCAATCAATCCCGAATGCACCAGTTTCGGTGAATTGCCTTGAGGAAGTGGTACCAAATCATTGTAGTGAATCTGCAAAGAATAAGTAGGTGGTTTGAAGACTCTTTCCAATTTGCAAAGAGGGCATGGCAAGTCTGCCATGGTGAAACCCTTTCTCAACAGCATTTGTTTTGTGAGATACTTCTTCTCCTTAGCTGCCACCCAAGAGAAAAATTTGATTTTCAGGGGGGATCACTACCCAATATGGCTTTGTAAGGAAGTTGCTGCTGGGGTTCCTCAAGATTCAAGAAGACTATTATAGGAAGTCTTGACTGAAAATTTGCCTGAGTTTTCCCACCTCTAGATTCTTCAGTCCTCAGATTGCAAATCTAGCTGTTGGTTCTGAAGTAAAGGAGTTCTGTCACCTGTTCCAACTCCCAGTCATGGAGTTTCTCCTAAAAATAGGAGACCAGATGATTCTGCCACCTTCCAGTTCATAATAATCAGTAACAGAGGCCTGTTTGTTTTCAGCCACATAAAAGATGAAAGGATATCTCTCTTCTAAAGGATTGTCACAACACCATGGATCCAGTCAAAACTGCAACCTGTTTCCAATGCCCACCTTGCTTGTAATTGCTTTGATGAAGGTAGGCATTGTAATTACCTTTCCAGCCACCACAGCCATATGAGAGATAGAGTCACTTGCATCCCAGCCATTGGCAGTAAAGCCATACTTCTCTACAATTGTTTTCCTCCATAGCTCATGCAGTTCAGTGGAGAATCCCCAATACCTTCTCCCCAATAGTGCTAGGTTAAACATTTTTACCTTCCTAATTCCCAGCTCTCCATGAGCTAGAGGTTTGCAAATCTCTTCCCAGTTCACCAAATTTTGAGGGGAGTCCTTTCACCCTAGCTGCAAAAATTCCCTCATTCTTTTTTCTATTTTTGTTGCCACCTGGCCCACCTCAGAGGGTATTGGAAATAAGGGCATATAATAAGCTGGAAGGATAGAAAGCTCACTCTTAACTTGAGTCCCATTTTCTCTTTCGGAAAGATATCTAGCCACCTAAGATGCCGATTTCCTGTCTACCCCTTCTAGAATCAGGGTCCAAATGCTTTTTAAAGGATGTCTACCTGTTTTCCATCCCAACACATTGTCCAAATTTTGTAATTTAGGAGTTTCCAAACTTCCATCATCTGCCTCTTAGATGAATTAGTTTTCAACCAGATACCATTTCAAATCAGCATAAGAAGTACCTTGTGTTGAGAACCTGGTTCGTGGTGGTGTCACAAAAGAAAGCATATTGTCAGAAAACTGTGACAAAGTGCCATTGTTACTAGCCTCAAAACCTTACAGTCCCAACTCAGTTGCTCTGGCTGCCATTTTTCTTTGGCCCTCCATTACAATTAGGAAAATCAAGGGTAACGATGGGTCACTTTTTTGTTTTTGAATAAAAGATAACTTGAATCCAGGAAAATTTGCCACAGATTTCTAGCAAAACAACAGTTAATAGGTGTCCAATCGATTCTCCATCCACAAAGCACAAGACACAAACATGGGGAAAGATGAATCCTTTTCCCAAGAGCTTCTTTTGCAAGACATCATAGATGTTTAATTTGCCACAAACAGCCTCCCAAATGAAGAATGCAACTCTTGGGGGGACAGATGAGAATCAAATCCTTTTATACGGGAAAGCTGGGGGGTGAGGAGGGATCAGCTATAATCTTGTGAAAATAGGAGCTGGAGGAAAACTGACCAGAAGGGGTGAGGGACCAAACTAGCTTGTCTTGAGATGAAGGGGACAAGAAGACTTCTGAAATTACGAAGAGCAAATGGGAAATGCCCAAGATTTCAGAATCTGGTTAAGCCTCTATGGAAGTTGAAGTTGTATGAAATGTGGTAGTTGGTCCTTAGGATGGTTGAAGAGACAAGAGCATGTTTATCTCTGACCAGAGAGAAAAGAGAGGGGAAGGAGATTCATAGGGGTTTATTGTCCCACTAGAGATCAGTCCAAAATCTTATTTGATTACTAGTATCCAATCTATATCTAATGAAGGTATTGAAGGTGTTTTCAGTAAGAAGGATACCTTTCCAAGGGTTAGCAAGAGAGTAGTTTGGTAAAGGTTGAGTGCTGCTCCTGTGAAGACAATTATCTTCCATATTTGCTATGAACCACTGAAGTCTAAAGAGACTTCTGATCAGTCTTAAATCTCTAAATCCACTCCCCTAGTAGAGCCCTGTTTCTTTGATATGTGACCAAGATCCAGACCTCCTTTCTTCGACTTAACACTGTCTTCCAATTTACTAGCTGATTCCTTTTTCCTCCCCCTCCATCCCAGATTAAGTTGCGCTGAAGCTTTTCTATGTGATTCCTCACTTTGGTTGGAACTTTAAACACTGAGAGGTAATAAGTTGGAAGGTTAGAAAAAGTTGCCTTGATTAGGGTAATCCTACCCCCTCTAGAGGTATAGTTTCTTTTCCAAACTTCCAGTCTTCTTTCACACTTCTCAATGGGGCACTTCCAAAAGCTGGCCGATCTTGGATTTCCACCTAGAGGGAGTCTTAAATAATTGATTGGTCAAACTTCGGACCTATAGCCCAGAGTTACTTGAAGCTCTATCAACTCTTGTTGAGGGTTGTGGATACTAATGATGCTGCTCTTCTCTAAAATAAAGAAAATTGTGTCATCTGTATATTAGAGGTGAGTAATGTGAATGTTATCCCAACCAACCAGAATGCCTTTGAATAAGTCCAGAGTTACAACCTTCTTCATGAGGGCATCAAGGATGTCAGCCACTAGGGTGAAAAGCAAGGGGGGGGCAGCCTTTCCGCAAGCCTCTTGAGGCCTTGAAAAAGTCTTTGGGTTCCCTGCTGATGAGAATGGAGAACCAGGCTGATCTAATGCACCCTTTCATCCATCTAATCTAAGTGTTACCAAAACCTTTCAGCACTCTGAATGGAAGCAACCACCTCATTGATTACCTTTTTCAACTGGTTGTCCGACACCTTTGCTATAATCTTATACAAGCTACTGATCTAAAAAAAAATCTTATACAAGCTACCTAGAAGACTAACTGGGCGAAAATCCCTCACTCCAAGAGAGCTAGTCTTTTTGGGGATGGGCTTAATGAAAGTGGAATTAGTGCATTTGTTGATGATGGTTGATCTAAAAAAGTCTTCAAAAACCTCTAACAATTCCCCTTTCACTATTTCCCAACATCCATTATAAAAGTCTGAGGAGAACCTGTCAGGGCCAGGGCAGTGATTTAAAAGGCGCGCCTCAGGCATGCCTAGGCGCACAGGAGATGTGCATTTTGGGCTATGCGCCTCACCCAGGTCCTAGGCGCATGCCTGGTTCGCCTGATGTGCCTTGCGCCTTGCCCAGGTCCTTGGATCCTTTATCAACTTCCAGACCAGAAACATACTTCTCATCCCAAATTATAATTAAACCTCCAGAAGATCCGTTCAAAGCAATCCAGGGCCACTTCTTATTATTGGCTTCCCAAGAATTAAACTATCTGTTTACGTTATCATTCTTGGTCTCCTGTATCTCTTGGCTTTCTCTCAACAGCGTCTCTTTGACCAGGCTTTTCTTTTGAGTGTCTCCTTTTCTCCTAGACCTCCAACGTTCCAAGACAGAATCTTCATTGAGCATCTTGAGTTGTCTTCCCTTGAGTTCTTTTTCTTCATGTATTCTCTAGCATCTCTTCTTTCCATTTCAAGTCACTTTTCAGTTACCTTAATTCCCTCATTGACTGAGGGTGATGGTTACTTCCTTCCTCTGACAGAAACTCTCTTGTCTTCCATTTTTCTACCATTATTATCCACCACTGAGACTCCTAACCCTTGTGCCCTTCTATCTGTCACTTCCTGGGGGGTCTTCTTTTGACTGTGGATGAGTCTCTGAACCAAAGTTTTCTGAGGCTTCTCTGAGTTGAGTGGGGGCAACACTTTCACCAAGACCTGTATTTGCACAAGTGAAAGTGGGGAAAGTAGGACCAGAGATGGCTTCAAGAGAAGGAGAGAACTGGAAGAAGGGAGGAAGGGGGATTGTGCAGGCATACCTGAAAATTGCAACTGCAAGAGAAGGGACGGACTAGTGGACTTTAAAGGGTTTTGTCTCAGCCCTCTCAAACTCCTGAAACTACCTTTGGCTGATCCATTAATAAGGATTGAAAAATTGGGAGTGGTGACACAAACTTTTTTTTTGAGAAAAAAAGTTAACTTGATTAAGAAAGAAAAGAGAGTACATGAGATGATGTACAATCAGGTTACACACAGGTTACAAGGGTATATTTCTGTCAAGGTTCAAAATATTGATACAGGCCGATACGCCGGTAGGGACGTATCGGCCTGTATCATGGTTCACTTCCCCTTTTTCTTAGTTTTTTTTTTTCCTCTAGCCCCAGAACCAGGGTCTGACCCAAAACTCCCCCTGTAGGGGCATATCGGGAAGCCCCCGATACGGTATGGGCTGATACGTTGCGAAATTTTGATCCTTGATTTCTGTCACTGTACAAAAAATCCCTGTGTACTGGATTCAGCCAAACTATCAGCTACAGAATTTAATTCCCCAGGAATCCAGAAAATGTTTACCGATAAGGAATTTAGCAGATCTCTAGCCTCATTTAAGTAGTGGGCCAGTCTCCAAGGTCCTCCTCCTTTCTCCCCCAACTACTTTATCGTGTTGCTGGAACCTCCTTTGATTGTTAGATCCGTCAAGCCTAGATCCCTCGTGATACGGAGTCCCGTTAAAGCAGCTAAAATTTCTTCCTTTGTGGAGTCTGCAACCCCAATTGGTCTGCTAAAAGCCCACATAGGGTGGCCATCCCTTCTGTTCCTGGGTTGCCAGTTGCACTTCAATCAATTCCTGCTGTTCCTGGGTGGCCATCCCTTTCTCTTAAACACATCACCAATTCCTGCTGTTCCTGGGTTGCCAGTTGCACTTCAATCAAAGTATAAAGTCTCTTCCCTCTTGCAGGACTGGGAGAGGAGAATAGCAATTCCACCACTTTCTGCTGAAGAGTATTCATGGATATTCCTTTGAAACTCTCCGAATTGAACACCCACAAATTGCACAAATAAATTATATGAGAAATTAGGTCTTCAAAGGTTCTAGCTTTTATTGTCAAACAAACAGCTGTTTCTTTCTTCCGAAACTCCCCACAAGACTGCTTGAGCTACTGTGTGCCAGTATATTCTTCCCCATTTACCTAATCCTCTTCCTGGCCATTGTCTAAAGAAATCTCCAATATGTTTTGGGAAAATCCAGTTATACCCAACTAGCCAACATGTAATCTAGAAACTTTCATCCAGTTTTTCCATTTTTGACCAAAGTTCATTCTAGCCAACATGTAATCTAGAAAAGACCAATTAACATGATCATAGGCCCAACTCATCATACCCAATCTGTTTTTCAATTTAATAAAAGCTAAATTCTCTTTTGCTGATAAAAAAATTCATCTTTTGTAGAACAAAACTTCCATGAGAGAAAAAGGAGTACTGAGGGACATCAGATCCCCAAAAGAGTTTTTGCACTGACAACCAAGACTAGACTGTTGCCCTTACGTGATGTAATATTTTTTTTTTGATTGTTAACTGTGAAGTTTTATTAATTTGTGTACAATTATTTGTACATATTGCTGTACATCCCACTGCATAGGACTCCCACAACATTTGATGTTGCTCTGCTGATCCAATTAAAAAAATTTAATGCTGTTCTACTATTGTCTTCATGTAGTTCATTTGCAGACTATCAGCGTAGCATCCAATTACTTTTACGAATTGAGGATGAGATGCCATACATATTGTGTTATTTCTTCATATCTTGGTTGTCCGCTCTTTTCCCTTAATAAGTTTATTAACAATAAAAAAGGGAAGAATTGCTGGACCCATTGGCTTTGGTGGTTATACATGAGTATAATTGATGGCTATTCTACATGGAATGAGATTGGCTAATTTTCTCCATTATGGAAATCTCATGGTGAATTGACTTTCATGTAATTATAAAATGGTTCAATCACAACAGCATGGGCCCATGGAAATATAGACTTGTAATTTGGGAGTAAAATATCTTGTAATGTGGTTTCTCCTTTCTACTGCAGTACTGCTTTATTTTGTTAATTTTCTACTTTGGTTTTATGAGAGATTTTTGGAACCTTCTCTCTGTTCTATGTGTTGGCCAAACAATGAAATTTACTTGTAACTGAAATTTCTGCACGTGTATATGCCAAATTCTTTCTGGTAGTTATTCAATATCCTCACCCTTGCTTTTGTGGTAAGGAAGTTCCATTTTAGGCAAGATTGCATGCTTTTCTGTTACACTAAAGATGGTTGCCCTGTTTTTGATAGGGTCCTAATAATTTCATTCATGCATCTCCACAGGCTGGAATTATGTTTTTCACACTGGTGCATATCGTGGGAAAAAAAATTGATCAGTCTTTCAGGTGGGGCTTCATTAGATATCTTGTCATGATCCTAATGTCTTACACTCTTTTAGTTGTATTGTTATTGTGGCTTTACACCTTTAGGATCTCAATGGTAGGTTGTTGGGTTTTAATCTAAATGTACAAAAATAGAAAAAAGTTAATGCCTGAAAATGTGGTATCTATGCAGTTACAGAATGAAAGAAAAGGAAAAAAGGGAATTAGGGAATTCAATCCTTACCATCCAAAATCTCTGGTTCAGAAGCAACCCTTGATTCTGAGGTACTTTTGTTCTTGGGACAATAGTGTTTTTGTCCCACCACTGGACACCTTTGATATCCGTTTCTTTAAATGGTTGAGTTCCAGAAACCCAACCCAAGGAATATAGATATGTACACATATTTTCAGCATAAAATTTGTACCCAAATGTTTCATAAAAGTTTCAACTAAAATCATTGTGCTCTATTTTGCAGTTCATATGAGCTTTGGATCAAGCAAGTCATATACAAGAAGTTTGTCATCCTGTTTTCTTTCATCTAAGTATTCCTTGTAGACATAGAATCTCCTTAATGGGGTGAGAGGTGGGGTGAGAGGTGGGGCGAGATGGTTTTACATTGCAAATCTTCAAGGAGATGGAGGAGACACGAGAAGATGCAGGGCTGGAAGAATCTGGGCCTTCTAATGCTACTTGTTGGCCCTCAGGTTTTATAGAAAAATTTCAATCAGTTTCTCTGTCCACTCAAGAAGAGAACCTGAACACAAAAGAACCAAATAGCAACCATGGGGGAGATGAGTTGACATCCCAGGCAGCTTCACAAATTCTCTGGATGACTGGAATGCTTTCTGGAATTATTCCTAATGGGTTTTACTCTGTCGTTCCGGTGAGTAGTAGCTTACATTTGTGGTTAGAATTTGCATTTCACCCATCAAAATGTTGGTTTTCCTTTCTTCTCTATCATCTATTCCAGAAACCAATTTTTCTGATAAAAATGTAAGAAGTTTTCTAATTCTTGCTTTACAAAAATATGGTTTGTTCTCTCGACAGTGCTTTGATATTCTATTTATTTTATATGTGCTTATGAAATTTTTAGTTGTCTTATGTATGTGCGTTGTCAGCTTTAGCTTGAAGCATATAGCTCTGGTATATTATAGTGATTGTTGTTTGTCTTTCTACAAGTTGTTCAAACTAATGTCATTTCTTAAACTTGATCCTTGTTTTCTCATTTTCTTCCCCCTTCCTCACCAGAAAGTAAAGAAATAAATAAACCTAAAAAAATTTAAGCAATGCTTTAAAAAACAGATTAATGGTTGGGCCTATATTTTGCTTAATTTTATTAAACCATAGTTCAATCATATTTAGGTTAGTTTTATTGATTTCCATTTCTATTCATTAAATAAATATAAACATAACTATAATTATGAAATAGAATATATTGATAAAAAGGGAAACAAAATAGAACAAGAAAATTCTGTATTGTGAATTGGTTATGGGAACTTGGGAAGCTCGCATGATGAAAAATGATTGATTGATTTGATTCAAAATACTAGTAATTACAACCCAAATAGGTGGGCAGTTTTTTTATATCTATTAAGAAACTAACACAAAAATTTAGTTACTATGCTTGATTTGATAGGGGATTAGTTTTCTGTTTAGTTTTCATCAAGACATCGTTAGCCTAGTAGGTAGAGTGGTGCTTTGTCATACAGAGAGTTAATCATATTCAGAATGTCTATATTTTATGCCAACAAAGTCCTAGTTCTGGTTTAACTAGGTTGATGGTTCATAGTTCAGCTATTGAAACATGAACCAGTCAGGGCCATGGAAATATAGACATATATTTAGAGAAAAGCAGACATCTAGCTAGGGAGGTGGGAGCTGGATTCACCTGGGTTCAAATATCATGTAATTACATGGCAGATGTATTGACTAAACAAGGAGTCAAGAGAATAATTCTATTGAGGGATCATTTCTAGGGAGAATTAATGTTAATGTAAATTAGCAGGAAAGGTCCATTGGTTAGGTAGCAGTCTGTTGTGGATGCATTCGTGGGAAGAATTACCGCCGCCAGCAGCAGCAGTGAGGGGGGGCCAACACAGCAGCTTATCTTGCCACGTCATCTCTCCTTGCCAGCTCGCCAGTAGTTTACTTATTCCAGTTCTGTTCTTACTTATCTATTAGAGATAGGAACTGAGTTCTGTTAGAAGT